GGGTTGTTTTTTTTATCATTCCATCAGAGTCCATTGCAAAATCAAACGATAGTACGCTGTGAATTATATTCCATTTCAAATTTCCCAAGGGACTCTATAATACTCACAAATGGCATTTTGGTTCCTAAAGACTCCAAAAACGTTCCGCATAAGGAAGAGTTGAAATCTGCCGTGCACCTAAAAGCTTAAGCTGCGGTGGCTCAAGTGGTTAAGACGCTGAACTGCAGGCTGTGGAAGGTCAGTAGTTCAGCAGTTCGAGACCCGAGTGTGCCGCATGACGGAGTGAGCTCCCGTCTCTAGTTCCAGCTCCTGCCAACCTAGCAGTTCGAAAGCAAGACATTGCAAGTAGATAAATAGGTACCGCTTCGGTGGGAAGGGAACAGCGTTCCGTGCGCCTTGGTGTTTAGTCATGCTGGCCACATGACCACGGAAACGTCTTCGGACAGCGCTGGCTCTTCGGCTTTGAAACGGAGATGAGCACCGCAACCCTAGAGTCGGACTCGACTGGCTTTTGAGCAAGGGAACCTTTACCTTTACCTTTTAAAAGCTTGAAAAACGTGAGCTGAGGTGCCAGAGAAACAGTACAGCAGACACATCTCATGAAGTGCTTCTTTACACCTTTGGCTGAAATTGCACATGCGTATCATAAAACGCAACTGCAGATCAACCTTCCTGCGTGGCTACCGATGGGATTTAACAGCCCGGCACAAGTGCATTTAAGATAGTTTTTCACATATTGTACGCCTGATACCCATGTGTTTAGGGCTACTTTTCTGTTTACCATTTGGACCACAGCAGCTGGGGACTGCACATGTGGAGGTTGGCCTGAACCTCCAGGAACTGTCAGTTTCTCTGTCTTCCCACCCCAATTCTTCTGCAAGTTGGGGGAAGAACTATGAGCAGGGATCGTTTCGTAGAAAAAGAGCTAGGGGAATTTATTAGCATAACTCATTAGCATATGCCACACCCCCTGACATCACCGGAAGTGTGTCATAAGGCCACACACCCTGACATCACCGGACGTGTGTCATAAGGCCACACACCCCGCCCCCAACGGTCCCGGCTGCCACCGCCGGCCTTGCAACTCCACTGCGGCGGTGGACCTGCAAGGCCGCACACACCCCGCCCCCAACGGTCCCGGCCGCCACCGCCAGCCTTGCTGCTC